TATCTTTCTTGCAAGCAAGAAAGATACTTTTAATGAGTTTGTTGTTTTTGTAAGGAAAGTTGAACATCAAACAGGGCTACAATTAATCAAGATCAGATCGGATCATGGAACTGAGTTTGACAACTCACTATTTGATGCATTCTGCAAGGAACGAGGCATAGACCACAACTTCTCTGCCCCTAGAACTCCTCAACAAAATGGGGTAGTAGAACGGAAGAATAGAACTCTGGAGGACATGACTAGAACAATGCTGATTTCCAGTGGTCTAGCAAGAAACTTTTGGGCAGAAGCACTAAACACGGCATGCTATATAATTAACCGTGCTATGATCCGTCCACTCCTAGGGAAGACACCCTACGAACTACTCAAAGGGAGAAAGCCCAACATTAGTCATCTAAGAACTTTTGGATGCAAATGCTTTGTTCATAACAATGGGAAAGACAACATTGGCAAGTTCGATGCAAGAAGTGATGAAGCAGTCTTCCTCGGATACTCAACTCATAGCAAAGCTTACAAAGTTCTAAACAAACGCACACAATGTGTGGAAGAAAGTATCCATGTAATCTTTGATGAAGCACTTGCCTTAAGACCAAGCCAAATCGATGATGAAGAAATAAGAATGACACGTAAGGAGATACTAACTCAAAGGGAAAGTGGAACTGACCATAACACCAACCAAACTGGAGAACCACCACTGACCAATGAGAATAACGAGTCTGGAACTGAAGAAGAAACTGGACAGACTTCAGCCAGTCAGCCAGTAGAACCAGAAGAACCAGTTTCAGATATTCTACACAAATTGGTGGATCAACCAAATGCTCCAAGAGGGTGGAAGCATCATCGATCACATCCCCTGGATAACCTCTTAATAGATCTAAATGAGGGAGTAACTACTAGATCTAAACTTAGAAATTTTTGTGCTTTCTTTGCTTATTTATCTCTTATAGAACCGGAGAACCATGAAGTGGCTCTCTCCGATGCTGACTGGGTTCTAGCGATGCAGGAAGAACTAAATCAGTTCGAAAGGAACAAGGTGTGGCATCTAGAACCAAGACCTAAGAACAAAACTGTGATAGGTCTCAAATGGGTATTTAAGAACAAGCTTGATGAACATGGACAAATCACAAGGAACAAGGCGAGGCTTGTTGTAAAAGGCTATAACCAACAAGAAGGGATAGATTTCAACGAAACATTTGCACCAGTGGCAAGACTAGAGGCAATACGAATGCTCATAGCATTTGCGGCTCACATGGGATTCACACTCCATCAAATGGATGTGAAAACGGCCTTCTTGAATGGTTATCTTAAGGAAGAGGTGTACGTTGAACAACCACCGGGGTTTGAAAATCCAGATTTTCCTAATCATGTTTTCAAATTAGATAAAGCACTTTATGGTCTCAAACAAGCACCTCGTGCTTGGTATGAGCGATTGTCTAAATTTCTTTTGGAAAATGGTTTTGAAAGAGGAAAAATAGATAAAACTCTTTTTCTAAAAATAAAAGATCAAGCTCTATTGGTTGTTCAAATTTATGTAGATGATATTATTTTTGGTGCTACTAACGATTCTCTGTGTGATGAATTTTCTTCTCTTATGAGTTCCGAGTTTGAGATGAGTATGATGGGAGAACTAAACTTTTTCCTTGGTCTACAAATCAAACAAACAAGCAAAGGAACCCAAATATCTCAACAAAAGTACCTTAAGGAACTCCTCAAGAAGTATGGAGCAAGTGAAGGCAAAACAATGATGACACCTATGGGAACAAATGAACGATTGGATGCAGACGAACAGGGAATAAGCGTGGACCAAAAGAAGTATAGAGGCATGATTGGGTCTCTACTATACCTAACTGCCAGTAGACCCGACATAGTTTTCAGTGTAGGTCTATGCGCTCGGTTCCAGGCAAATCCTAAGGAGTCACATCTCAAAGCGGTTAAAAGGATCCTCAAATATCTCAAAGGAGCTTCGAATCTATGCTTATGGTATCCACGTAATGAAGATTTTAACCTTATTGCATATTCAGACTCTGATTTTGCAGGTGATTTACTAAATAGAAAAAGCACGTCTGGAACGGCTCACTTCCTTAGTCCCTGTCTAGTTTCATGGAGCTCTAAGAAACAAAATTCAGTTGCTCTTTCAACGGCCGAAGCTGAGTACGTAGCAGCCGCATCTTGTTGCTCTCAATCATTGTGGATCATGCAACAAGTAAGCGATTACGAGGTTAATTTAAAGTGCACGCCCATCCTATGTGATAACACAAGTGCAATTAGCATATCAAAGGATCCGGTCATGCATTCTCGGACAAAACATATTCATATACGACATCACTTTCTGAGAGATTGCGTGGAAAAGGGGATAATCAGGCTGGAATATTGCAGCACCGAGAAACAAGTAGCTGATATTTTTACCAAGCCTCTGGGAAGAGAAAGGTTTGAACTAATTAGACTTGAACTTGGTCTAATTAATTCCTAAACTAATTAACTTGCTCAATCTCTTCTGCTTCTGCGTATCGCAAAGAAACTTCCTCCCTCACCGGCCTGTTCTAAGGGGGAACAAATCAATGTTTTGATTTGGGCATTATTTTGGTTCCTTTTGTTGGATGACAAAAGGGGGAAAAATCAGGTGCCTCTTTATGTGTTGATGCTCTACTATTTATGATGGATTGTTACTAATCTGCAGGGACACCTTTATTATGGCACCTAATGTTTGTCATCAACAAAAAGGGGGAATTTGTTGAGTATGTTGTTTTGTTGATGACTAACCATGCAGGTGGAACCGCGGACAGAACCGCTCACAGTTCCTTACGGAACAAGGACAGAACTATCCTCAAGACCAAATGGGTATTATTAGTGTGTTGTTGACTAACCATGCAGGTGGAACTAATGCAGAACCATCTCTAGTTCCGTGATATGATTTGAATTAATATTAATCGGACCTACTTGATTTTCAATTAATTTACTTTCCTTATATGAGTGCTTATATTTGTCAAGAATATTATTTTAAGTAAAAGTATCTTTCTATGCATGTCCACTCTATATATACGTATTTTGGTTATATGAGTACTTATTTGGGTGGTTATTATCTTTCCATAGTTGACTAGACATCCACTCATTAAATATTGTTTAAATACTTTATGGAAAGTATTTTTACTTAATGTGAGTGCATGATCCATATTTTATTGGCTATATACGTAGCATGCTTGTAATTGATTAACAAATATTTTATTGCCTTACAATTTGAAAAGTCATTATTAGTTAAAATATTAAATGAATATTTTTGGAAAGTATCTTGGCTTGCATGATCCGTAGCAACTTATTTGAATATCTTACTTATATGATCATTGCATATTCAAATTTGTTAAGAGAACTAATCATTGAATGCATAAATATTTTATTACTACTAACGTCCGTTGCATGCTTATATTAAGAGAATAAATTATTTCCCTTTATATGTGATGATATATATTCATGTGGAATTATCATTGAATATTTAAATACGTAATATACTCCATATCTTTTTTGTTATGTCGTGATTTACTCATAGTATGCACGTATCCACTTGCTTCCATATATATATGGTTGACCGAGGATCACCATATTGGAGAGCCCGAAGATCTTTGAATAAAAGGAAAGGTTTTTAAATAACATCAAGGAAAGTCCAAATATTCAACCAAGAAAAGGAGAGGCTACGGATGCTATATATATTGGACTGAAGACCAGACGAAAGGGGTGTGCTTGACCGAGCTTCTATTGAGAAATATACACGAGAATATTTACTAAGTCCAAGGCACCTGAACCTGCTCACGGAGTTCCAGACAGAGTTTCTTTTTCCCTTCTTCATATTGTAATTGGGTTTTTGAGGATTTGCTAAGTGTAGCATCCTCGGGTTGGTTAGTGTGTTGTGAGAGCTTTGTTGTAAAGCTGAGAGGCTCTCTACCCGCAAGGTAGAGATGCATAACTCTTCCTAGAGAGGATAGAGTTGGGGTGGCTCAAGGGTAGACTAGGAGAGTTTCCCTTGTAATCATTCAAAGGCTTTTTAGTGGAGTTGTTCAAATTCCTCCGAGGGAGGTCGAGGTTTTTTTAATCCCTTTGAGCCAAGGGATTTTTCCTCATTAAATCCTTGTGCACTTTACTATTTCGTAATTCCCTGGACCCCACACTAGAACTGTGCGAAAAACTGCCACGGTTCCACACACACACAATTCACCCCCCCCCCCCCCCCCCCCCCCTCTTGTGTTGCTAACCGTTTCATCAGCATGCGAATCGGAATTGTGGTTTACTGAAATTGGTCCTCACATTTTCGTTTTAAATATCTTCACGGGTAAGGTTTGGCCCTCACGTTGTAGTATTCTCTTTATCCCTCTTTTTTAATGAAGGGAGAACTATCAAATAAACCCTCGAACTTTCATAAAAAGTGTAAATAAGCCCTTCTACAGGAGGCTTTGTCCGGCTGTCAACATTTGGGGCGGTTTCCGGTGGAATTTTTTGATGAAATTTTTTGAGCATCTTCTTCATTAAGTCTATTTTACTCATCACAAATTTCAGATAAAAATTCAATCAAAAAGGCAGTCAAATAATTTTCTGAAATATATTGCGCTGCCTAACTGCACAGTTATCTTCGAAAATTCATTTGACTGCCTTCCCTATTAAATTTTTAGCTCAAATTTGTTATGAGTAAACTAGACTTAATGAAGAAGATGCTAAAAGAATTTCATCAAAAAAAAATCCACCGGAAACCGCTCCAAATGTTGACAGCCGGACAAAGTCTCCTCTAAAAGGATTTATTTGCACTTTTATGAAAGTTCGAGGGCTTATTTGGTAGTTCTCGCTTTAATAAAACACGCCATCTGAGGCGTGTAAACGATGGGACTAGTCCACAAAAAGCATCTGAGGCGTGGTCCCTCATCCAAACCATTGGCTGGGGTTGGGAAATTGGACCGGTCAACCCATAATTACATGACTGATCATTAAATTTATGCAATGCATGAGTCATTAGATGGCGTACCGTTGTTGTTGCCCTATCATCAGTTGAAGTACCGGAAATGACAAACATAAGAAGGAATGAAATGACAATCTCTACAGCAAACGACTGCCAGTTGGATCCCACCGGAAGAGTACCAAAATAAGCTTCCGGAGTTACTTCAAACATTAAGGCTAATGTGCCGCTCCCAAGAATGGAACCAACTAATTGCGCCACGATATACAAAGGAACCTGCACGTTTATACTACCATAAGCTTGCTCTTTTTTAATCTCTATATATAAACGCATTTTTAAATCTATGCGTTTTTTTATTCCTTGAATGTATGTCGCATGATAGATGTATTTTTTAGTGTCACACAAATGCAAATTATGTTTAAGAAAAAATGTTGTGGCATGCGTAATTCTACTCGATCTAAATAGACTTTTAATTTTAGTTAGAATATGGATTTCACCATGATGGTTGGCTTCGTATTAGTGCTTTAAATAGCCGCTGAAATAATGTTACAAATATTATCTAATAAGGCTTCACTAGCCGTGATCCACTATCCCACCGATATTGATAGAATTCGGATGGCTAAATAATATCTAATTACAAACAACAAGATATATACAATGATAAGTAATGATAAATGAGAATAGTTGGAGACCCGGAGTAGAGAGAATTTGTCTAGGAGAATAGGGCTGGTATTGTGACGTTGACTAAGCATGTATTCCCATGCATACGTAAGTGTACAACTAACATACACGATCTCGCAATGGAAACATGAGGGTGACGAACTGGTACAAAAGTCATCAAATAATACCCGAGGTAAGCCTTTGTGAAGTTGTCAGCATATTAATGGTCAGATGGAACATGGACACATACTTCGCCGTGAGCAACCTTTTCAAGGACAAAATGAATATCCATTTCAATGTGCTTTGTTCTATGATGGTGATCAAGAACACATGCAGGGCATGTGTGATAAGTCACGCATGCATGGCATACGTTCTACGCATGCGGTCAAATTAATATAGTTAAATTAATTATTAAACTATGTACAATATTATCTTACTACTATTAATTTGCATGTAGTTAGGATATTTTGTGTCATCCGTGTTCATAGCTTATACGACTCTTGTAACCTTAGCTTCTTAACAATACTTGTGGATAGAATTGTAGGTATCACATACCATGTAACTTCATGTATTGTATTCTCCTATTTATATCATTGAATAAAGAGGATGATGATTACAGTGAATTTCTTAGACTTTAACTTGGTATCAGTTGCCTCGTTTTATCCCTCCCTCTTCCTTCATGTCTTCTTCCAAATTCTCCTTTCATCCAGCCTTAGCCATATTCAACATCAAAAACTATATTCCTATCACACTCGACCTTGATAATTGCGATTAATCTTCATGGGAAGAGTTCTTCAAGATCACGACCCGAGCTTACCAGGTCCTCGACCACATTATTCCCTCTACTGATGATGCCTCATCCGCCTCCACCTCCACCGACTCCTCCCTCACATTTGAACAATGCAAGGCTCGTGACGCCGCTAAGGCCGAGGCGGATGCCTTATGGTCTCGTCTCGATTCCATTATTTTGCAATGGATCTACGGGACCATCTCCCATGACCTCTTACACACCATTATCGAGGTTGATTCCGGAACCCAAGACGCGTGGGATTGACTCACCGACTTATTTCAAAAGAGCAAGCACTCACGTGTTGTTTATTTGGAGAGCAAATTCTCCAGCACAAGACTTGATCAATTCTCGAACGTCGCTGCATACTGCCGGGCTTTGAAATCCCTCTCCACAAAACTCAAGAATGTAGGAGCTACAGTGGATAATAATTTCCTTGTTCTTTGTATGGTCTACGGTCTGTCCTCCGTCCTGGGCTATGATACGGTGGCATCCTTGATTCGATAGAAGGAACCCCCCCTTCTCTAAAGCTCGATCGATGGTCATTCTCGAAGAGTTCCGCCGCAATCAGTCAAACTCTCCTGCCACCACACAAGTTCATACCGGAGATGTCACACCACCACCAACTTCTTCATCTCGCGGAGGCCGTGGTGGCTCACACTGCGGTGGCGGTTGAGGACGCTCTTCTTCTGAACGCGGCGGGCGCGGACGGCAACCGACACGTGTGGACTCTACTCCTTCTCCCGGACAGTGGCCTCAACCCCCACCTTGGGCCTACTTTTCACAACCACCGACTTGGGTTGCTCCTCCTTTCCCATACCCTGGTTATCCTTGGAACAGCCAACCCAGTCCACGCCCGTCTACTAGTGCTGGACTTCTGGGCCCTCGTCCGCACTAGGCACACATGGTTGATGCTACACCTAGCGACTTGGCCGCAACTATGCAGACCATGACTCTATCTCCTCCCGGTGAATAATGGTTTATGGATACCGGGGCTACATCCAATATGACGGCTCATCCAGGTACTCTCATGTCCTTTTCTAATTTAAGCACTAAAAGCAAAATTCAAGTTGGTAATGGCAATACCATGCTGGTTTCTGGTCTCGGACACACTATTCTTCCACCCCAACCCCCTCTCACTCTTAAAAATGTTCTATGTGCCCCATCCCTTATTAAGAATATAATTTATGTTCGTCGCTTTACTACTAATAATTCTGTATCTGTTGAGTTTGACCCGTTTGGCTTTTCTGTGAAGGACTTTCGGACGGGCATTCCAATCATGCGGTCTAACAGTACTGGTGACTTGTACCCTCTTCACTCCATTTCTCCGCACTCCCATCCACACTCTGCTCTCGTTACAGTCCCGACCGAAGTCTGGCATGACCGGATAGGCCACCCAGGGGCTCCTGTTTCTAAATTTCTTAGTGCCAATAAAATGTTACCTTGTAACAGACTCATTTCCCATTTATGTAATTGTTGTCAAATAAGCAAACACAATAAATTTCCTTTTTCTTCTTTTGTATCATTTACTTCTAGATCATTTGAAATAATTCAGTGATATTTGGACTTCACCTATTATTAGTATGTTTGGTCACAAATACTATGTTATTTTCATTGATGATTTCACCAAATTTATTTGGACATTCCACATGCAATATAAACTCCAAACCTTCTCTATATTTCTTCGGTTTCATTCTCTAATTCGCACTCAATTTGAATGTAACATTAAAATACTTCAATGCGATAATGGAAAAGAGTTTGATAATTCTTCTTTTCGTCAATTCGGTGAAACCCATGGCATGCACTTCCGTTTTTCATGCCCATATACCTTCCCCAAAATGGTAAGGTTGAACGTTCTATTCGTACAATTAACAATATTGCACAAAGTTTACTATTGCATGCATCTATCCCACCCACATTATGGCCTCACGTCGTTCATATGGCCACATACTTACATAATATTCTCCCATGTGCGTCTCTTTCATTTCTCACGCCAACCGACCTTCTTTATCATCAACATCCTACACAGTCTCACCTACGCGTACTCGGTTGTCTATGTTATCCCTACTTACCCCCCACCACTATAAATAAACTCCAAGCCCGTAGTACCCTGTGCATTTTTATGGATTTTCCCTGTAATCACAAAGGCTACATTTGTCTTGATTTGTTAACCAACAAATTTATAATTTCACGACATGTAAATTTTGATGAGAATAATTTCCCATTCAAAAATAATGCCTCGTATGCATCCAAAAACCCTCTGGACCCCTGCCATTTTTATTACCGGCTTTGACCCTTACTGCCCATCCCTTTGACCCATGCGTGATAAGTCACACATGCATGCCATGCATACGCATCATAAGTCGAGACGGAACATGAAGAACCTTGATTTGTCCACGGACTACCTTTTCACGAACAAAATGGATATCCATTTCAATATGTTTAATATGTTGGTGCTGAACGGGATAGCCGGACAGATAGACGACGCTAATGTTGTCACAATATACAATGGAAGCTTTGTGATGTGGATGGTGGAGTTCGAGTAACAAGTTACACAACCAACATAGTTCGGTGACCGCATTAGCAATACCCCGGTATTCAGTTTCATCACTGGAATGGGACAGAGTGGGTCGGCATTTAGAGGACCATGAGAGTAAGTTGTTACCCAAGAAAACACAATAACCGGATGTGGAGCGCCGAGTGTCGGGATAGTACGGGATAAAGCCGGTAGTATATATGGGTGGGGTCCAGAGGGGGTTTGGATGCATATGAGGCCTTATTTTTGAATGGGAAAGTGTTCTCATCAAAATTTACATGTCATGAAATGATGAATTTGTTGGTTAACAAATCAAGACAAATGTAGCCTTTGTGATTAGAGGGAAAACCCATAAAAATGCACAAGGTACTACGGGCTTGGAGTTTATTTATAGTGGTAGGGGGTAAGTGAGGATAACATAGACAACCGAATATGTGTAGGTATATGGGCATGAAAAACAGAAGTGCATGTCATGGGTTTCACTGAATTGACGAAAAGAAAAATTATCAAACTCTTTTCCATTATCGCATTGAAGTATTTTAATGTTACATTCAAATTGAGTGCGAATTAGAGAATGAAACCGAGAAAAAATAGAGAAGATTTGGAATTTATATTGCATGGGGAACGTCCAAATAAATTTCGTGAAATCATAATGAAAATAACATAGTACTTGTAACCAAACGTACTGATAATAGGTGAAGTCCAAATATCACTATGAATTATTTTAAATGGTCTAGAAGTAAATGATACAGAAGAAGAAAAAGCCAATTTAATGTGTTTTCCTATTTGACGGGAATTACATAAATGGGAAATTGGTCTGTTGCAAGGTAACATTTTATTGGCACTAAGAAATTTAGAAACAGGAGCCCCGGGGTGGCCTTGTCGGTCATGCCAGACTTGGACTGGGCTGTAACGAGAGAAGAGTGTGGCTGGGAGTGCGGAGAAACGGAGTGAAGCTGGAACAGGTCGCCAATATTGTTAGACCGCATGATTGGAATGCCCGTCTAAAAATCCTTCACAGAAAAGCCAAACGGGTAAAACTCAACAGATACAGAATTATCAGTAGTAAAGCGACGAACAGATATTAAATTCTTAATAAGGGACGGGGCACATAGAACATTTTTAAGAGTGAGAGGGGGGTTGGGGGTGGAAGAATAGTATGTCTGAGACCAGAAACCGGCATGGTATTCCCATTACCAACTTGAATTTTGCTTTTAGTGCTTAAATTAGAAAGGACATGAGAGTACCTCGATGAGCCGTCATATTGGATGTTGCCCCGTTATCCATAAACCA